CCAAAATATTGTGATTTTTTCAAATTTTTTATCGAGTCATACACTTCGAAAGTGCCCAGAAAGCACCAAATAGCATCTTAAAATTGTAAAAATTTATTTCATGCATTGTCTCAGACACTTCTGAAGTGTCAAGACTTCATCAAATACATGTAGCACCTTGATATGGTAAATGTTTCTGGGGGCAGATATGGGGGACAAACACTTGCTCCCCCTCTGGCATCCTAATCCTACCTCCCCCTCTGGCATCCCCCTTTGACACCCCCAAAAATTGAAAAATATGAAATTGTTTTTCAATTTTTTTCGATTGACTCATACACTTTAAAAGTGCCCAGAAGCACCAAATATCATCTTAAAATTGCAAAATTTTCTGGAAGAGTTGGCCACCCATCACATCCCCCACAAAACAATTGGGAAAATTCTGAATTTCATGATTTGTCTCAGACATTTTTAAAGTGCCCAGACATCATCAAATGGCACCTTGATATGGTCATTGTTTCTTGGGGATAACCCCTTGCACCCCCTCTTGCACTCCACCCCACTTCACCCTCACATTCTATTTGACATCCCCAAAAAGAATTTGAAAAAAAATTCACTTTTTACTGACTCATTCACTTTAAAAGTGCCCAGAAAGCAGCAAATGGCATCTCAAAAGTATAAAATGTTCTAGGGGGATTGGGTCACTCCTTACAAGTTTGGAAGTTGCATTTGTTAATTTTAAACACTTTAAAAGTGCCTAGAAGTCACCAAGTGACATAATGAAATCATAAAAACATAAAAATTTCTGGCAGCCCACCCCAAAAACTAAAGCATTCATTTACTCAAACACATTAAAAGTGCTCAGAATTAACCAGACAGCATCTTGAATTAGTAAAATTTTCCTTGCTGCCCCCCTAAGAAGAAAATGATTGAAAAAATCTGAATTTCTTATAAATAGATTCTATTTCAATTAAAACACCGTGAAAGGGTCCAGAAATCACTAAATGTGATCTTGAACTGGTAAAAGTTCTCGGGCTCTAGTACACCCTCCCCCTATTCCAGTGTTTCTCCAAATTTCTCATACAATATTGAGTCTAAAAACAATACGAAAACAATAAAAAACTACAAAATATAGGGAGTAACCGACCCCCCCTCCCCTTTGACTTACGCAATTTGATTTACGCGGCAAAAAATTGACAATTTCTCCAAATTTCTCATACAATATTTAGTCTAAAGACAATACGAAAACAATAAAATACTACAAAATATAGGAAGTAACCGACCCCCCCCCCCCCCCCCTTTGACTTATGCAATTTGATTTACGTGGCAAAAAACTGACAATTTTATTTTCTCTTTAGTTAAAACCGCACCCCCCTTGGAGAAAAGTGTCTTACGGGCCTGATTAGATACTTTATCATGTCAGCAGATTCTTTCAATATGATCCCCTATCATAGTGGGGTTACTTATTAGAGGTGGCTTTCCATTCCATTAAAAATAATGAGTTAATGAGTTGTTGAACTTGTTCAATGATGTTGTTGCAGAATGGTGGATGCTAGATACATTAATTTTGATGTTGCGAGAGCTTTTATTTTGACATGTTTTCAATAAGGAGGTTTCTCCAACTCCATATTTTAAAGAGGTTTTCTATAATTTTAACTTTTGAGGAAAAATTTAGAACATTTCTTTCATTTGGATCGTGACTTAAAGTGTGCGCCAAAGTTTAAAACTGCGCAGGCGCACCGCTCTCGCTAAACTATATAAAGAGATTGCCCGGTACACGATTCAGAGGTAAGCCAGGAAGGCGAACGATCTTCGTCTCGTGATGATTTCCCATATAATCTTAACCAGGGAAGTTTCAACATTGAAATTGAAAATTACTATTAGATATACTTTGTAGATGTTATTTATAAAGCTATTTAGTGTTTGCATCAATCAAAATGGCTCATTTTGAACATATAAAACGTATTTGTGTTTTGTTTCCCAGGGAATTGTATTGTATGTAGTACACACATAAATAGTGTACATTATACTTGAATAGCCTGGTTTACATAATATTGAAGGGCATGCTGATTACATGCACACGAGTACATGAATGAAGGCCTAATATTGATATACGTAGCTTGCATACCTAAATAAAAAATAAACTCTTCTAATTCCCTAATGTAAACACGGCGGTATACGTAGCCCGATTTATCGGGGACTTTAACCAAATTCCCAAGGCATTCCCAAGTTTTTGTTAAGTTTGTGAAAAGGAGTTTAAACAATTTAGTGCGCTTTCGGACGAGTCTATAGAATCTAGGATGAGAGTAGTGATCTGCGAACTCAATAAGTACTGATAAAAATGCTATAACTTTTTTTTTATATTTCTGACTAACGTTTCTCCTGTACATTGTTGAGTATTATACTGATCGGATGTACTGTAAGAGTTACAAGAATGTACCCTAACAGAAAGGTGGTACTGAGTTGAGCCTAAGGTGGCTTGTGGTGGTTCAGGTCTGCACGAAAAAAATCAAAATAACAGACTTAAAATGTGAACATTTTCATATACAACTTTATTTTTGAACCCATTTTGACAATTGGTAAATAAACAGTGGTACTAAGATACCTTGACACCACCTACTGATGAAGTCAAAGAGCAAAATGCAAGGTGGAAATGACATCAATGAGCAAGTCGATCATTAGAATACATGTATACCACAGAGCAATTTAAAATCAGATAACATCATAGAGAAATTACATCACACGAACTGAGCAAAAATGATGTCATCAACAGCATGGCTGCTGAACAGAATATCAATAATATTCACTGAACAGAATATCAATAATATTCAGCATCAAAGTAGAAGCAGCATCAAATTCTACAGTATATATACTCTAGTTACACTAGGTAAATCAAAATAGAATACAATAAAGGACATTCATGAAGCTTATAGGGAGGACACTATATCTAGTCGTACCCACGTATGCGTGTGAACGCATATCGTTGGTAATGGTTCCGCTATTTCAAAGAGGGAGAAAGTCAGTTAAAGTTGAACCCAGACAGGGGTGACCAAAAGCTATAACTTCCCCTAGTCAGATTGAGTCAATAAAAGAAATATTGGATGAATTCCTATCAGAAAAATTGCAGACATGACTGATGCTCAACAATGCACACTTACTAGAAATATTAGTCCTGAAAAAATTAAAAATTATTTTTATCAGTACGTATTGAACGCCCTATAGGTATTTAGGTATACCTTTTATGTTGTTATTTTGTCGAATTGATATTGCTCGAAGTTCAGCAACAATGATAATAAGTTAGTAATGACAATTTGTCAATTTGTTACCTAAATTGCCCAATTTATGTGGGGGGGGGCAGATTTTGAGCCCTAGAAATTATCTTGGTCTTAGCTTTTTTCCGAAGCCCATATTCAATTGTCTCTATTTTTGCAGTTCAATCCACAAAACTTCAGATAATGGTGAAATGATTATTGGTGAAAATGTCAAAGATAATAATATTTATGTATGATTATTTTTGGCTTGTCATAGCCATGATCTGTATTCTGCGTGTGTCATGAAAAGTTTCCAAATTCCCTCTGCTTGAGACTGTCACTGCTGAAAATAAAGTATCTTTCATACCATACAATATGTATCCTTCAAATAGTCTCATCACAATTTCCATGAACTAAAACATATGAAGTTATCTCTAGGAGAAGTAAGACATGCCTCTCTTGGATAATATAGCTTAACTGACTTCAGTTTCTTTCAAAACTGGCACAATATGTCTCAAAACCTGTCATTTAAGCCAAGAATGACAGTCAAATACAGCTCAGACTGATTGTTCAGATGGGCATAGGACAAGTTCAGGAATCCCTTGCGTTGAGTAAAAAAATTAGAACATTTTTCCATCGATTGTAACTTTTTTGTTAGTCATGTATTATCTTCAATACTTTAGAAAATTGAAAAACAATTCATTGTCACAAGTTCTGCAAATAGGAATATACAAGCTCAACATTTAATTACTGAACATGTCCTCCACCCACCTGAACAATCAGTCTGAGCTGTAATTAAAAGTCTTGCTTGGCTAAAATGAAAGGTTTGAGTCATATTGTGCCAGTTTTGAAAAAAGGCTGAGGTCAGTTAAGCTATATCATCCAAGGGAAACATGTCTTCTCCTAGAGATAACTTCATATGTTTTGGTTTATGAAAATTGTGTTGAGACCATTTGAATGACATATGTTGTATGGTATGAGATACTGTATTAAGAGCAATGACGTCTCAAGCAGAGAAAATATGGAAATTTTTCATGACGCACGCAGTATACATATCATGACCATGACAAGCTAAAATTAATCATACTTAACTATTTTTATCTTAAACATTTTCACAAATAATCATTTTACCATTATCTGAATTTTTGTGGACTGAACTGCAATAATAAAGAAAATTAAATAAATAGAAAAATGTTCCACTTTTTATTGGCCCACCCTGTATGTATTGTTTAACGAGGACAAAAAATCTGAGCTGATTTACACATACCAGCCTTGCCGTGAGGTCAAACGATATATTAATTTAAATCATATTTGTCTCAAAGGAAAAGTTTGATTGTGCGAATAATAAAAGTTGTAAATGCATTGATCGTGCCAAGTATCTTCTGAGATTTTGTGTTCCAATTTGAAAATATAGTACAGTGCCATAAGTATCTTTGTCATACATTTACATAAAACAAATCCTTTCTCATGGAAACGGAATATATTAGTATATTGTTTCCGATCTAATTTATTTTACTTATGTTCAGTAAGGTATCTATCCCCTAAGTATATTGTTGAATTATCCATTTCGAAGATGGCGTAGTGGGACGATTGAGATATGGGGTGGGAGGAATGAGGTGCAAGTTGGGACGAATGAGGCGCGGGATGGGACGATTGAAGCGCAGGGCTGGACGATTTAGGTATGGGGTGGGAGGAATGAGGTGCAAGTTGGGACGATTGAGGCACGGGCTGGGACGATTGAGGTATGGGTTGGGAGGAATGAGGTGCAAGTTGGGACGATTGAGGCACGTGATGGGACGATTGAGGTGCAGGGTGGGACAATTGAGGTATAGGGTGGGAGGAATGAGGTGCAAATTGGGACGATTGAGGTATAGGGTGGGACGATTGAGATATAAAAAGGGAGGAATGAGGTGGAAATTGGGACGATTGAGGCACGGGATTGGACGATTGGGAAACGGGATGGGACAGAATGGGCGATATCTCTTCGCTTTGCTTGGATGCAACTGTTATGACAGAAACATCATGAACAGGTGCATTTTCCAATAGATTCACACTGGGTACCATCTCCCCGCTTCGTGGGATACTGGCAGATGTACTTGAAGCAATTCTGCGATTTCTCTTATCACCGGAACAGGCACCATGTCTAATTCTGTTGAATAATAGTAAATAGGCCCGCTTGAATCGTCTGTTCAAAAGTCCATAGAAGATCCAGTTAATCGACGAAGACATCCAAAGAACTAACACCCCCGAAAGATAAAGCCACTCACTTAGCTTACGCTGCTTATCGACGATAGCCATAAGTGGTAGACTAAGGTATGATACACTGTACAGTAACATTATCACAACCATCGTCTTCATTAATCTGAAATCCCGTTTTCTCTCGTTAAGCATGCTTCTATGTGTTCGTACTGCTACAGGACCATTTGTTGCAGTATGAACTGAGATAGCGTTTTGGGACTTTCTGCTTATTATGATAATGCGAACATAGAAAAACCAAAGTGCTAGGTTCAGAAGCAATAAAAAAGTAAGCGTCGAAGCCAGTGCCTTCGTTTTAGTGTCAGGTCCATCAGTGAGTTTTTCACAGAACATTATTTTTGTGTCATAATCAATATTTACTTCAAATATGTAAGTGAGCTGAAAGTTCGTATTCATCAACGTAATCGCGATTGGGATTGCGTACAGTGCTACAAGACAACACGCCATTACCCTCTTCCTGGTAAAAATAGGGGCTTTGTTGGGATGCACGATCTTCAGGTAACGATAGAAAGCATTGGCGAAAACATGCAGCGAACTACACGTTATGAGAATGTTTATCTCCGTCTTTGTGTAGATACACGCCGGTCCTCCCAGCGTCCAGCGTCTGTTTACGAACACAGACAAATGAAGGCTGTAATTTGTAGTCAGAATAAGAAAGTCACAAAACACTAGACTGCAGATAAATGTATTTTCTGCCTTCCTCAGTGATTTGATGATAAGAATCGACAAAATTGTGACGAGGTTCCCGAATATCCCGACACTCAACATAGCGCCACCAACGAGAATTCCAACCACACCAATAGCGAGAGTGACATCATCCCGGTAGAACCCTACTGTTGTACCCTCGTCCAAGGTAGTTACATTCGAGAGATTCATCTGTGTTCCCCAGTTGTCGAATCCTACACGAGCTGGTTTTCAACGAGTCATTCGCTCTGTTATTCAAAGAGAAATGTGATAATGAAAACAATGACGAAATGATATTAAAACCAGATGAAATCTAATCTGATCTAGGCTTACTTCATGATGCATGTAGGCCTAGTGATTATATATAATTTCAATTCAGACAGCTGTGTTCAAATGCAATTTTTGTTGTCACAAATTCTGCGTTTATCAAAAGGGTACTTCTTAAAGACACAGTACCATTAGTATTGGTTCACACTACCAAAACTGAGTTCGAGGAAAAGACAAATGAATTTTTTTTACTGAAGCTCATCTGCTTTTCCAGACGACAAAAACCTGATAATGTCCAATACATGAACCACTATGATTGATTTCGTATATTGTGGTTATAAACAATGCGTAGTGGCTATATCTTTTTGATTAGCATGAATACTATCTTCAAAACAGATCAGCATTTTGAGCCAACAACTTAAACCTAAACCTACTTAGCGTTTTCAAAAAAGTACTTACCGTGATTTTTGTTGATGTTAATGGATCACCATCCATTTCGATGCAATTTTATTTGTCCTTTCCAAGAGTGTCAATGCCATTTGCGAAGGTCGCTGAACTTAATGAATATTTAAGTGTACGCGTAACAAGTCCATGCTCATGACGCGGTTGCACAATGTGCAAATTGATCTTAGATATAAGGTTAGCTATTAGATGCCCTCAAAACTAGCATTAATCTTACTTACTGTATTTTTATACGTGGAACCATCTTACCGTTTGTTTATGTTTTAAATGAAAATTGTCTTCTCTTTATCTATTTCTTGTCAAGAAATTTCCGGGGATGAACCCACAGTGATGCAAACCCAAAATTAGCACCCTTGGACACTCATAGATGAAGACACGCCTAAGCATCGACAACGTACAATGGCAAAATATACGGATGTACACTTTAGGTGTACGTTGTCGTTCACAAAGTATATGTATATGTTCAAAGTATATGTCGCATGCTTTCTGTTATTAAGTTGCGAATATGCATATCCTCTTCAATTGATTTTCAACAACTCCATTATCTTCGTATAGCTCCACCCAACCCGTCGGTGGTCTCCAGAATTTGACTTAATTCCGCAAAAACCTCTCTATCTTTTGTTTTTATTTTCAAACCTTTTTGATGTTACAACAAAAATAGCTTTTGTACGTTGTCAACTTGTTTTTACGTTGGCACTGACATCTAATTAAAAGAAAAAATGTTTGATGAAATAAACTTTTATAGTTTCCCCTAGCTCGTATGTTAGTTTCAATAGTGTAATCATCAGTAAGCAGCGTCGTGTTACTTGAATTTAGAAAAGCTAGCTATTCAATTTACAAACATTGACACTTGTATTAACGTGCCCCTGGTAATATTCATTTTAAAGTCATTTAATACAAGTCAAACGATGCTGTGGAACAATCTTTCAAATTTAATTTACATGTACTGCAATGAACGATGTATGGCATGTACAATAGTTAGATTCGAGCAGAAATAATCGTGATTGAGGTCATTAAAAATTCAAAATTCAGTCGTGATGTTATATTTGAAATCTACATGTAGAGTTACATCCAGAAATGTGGTTTTAAAAAGTGTTTATCAGCTTTGAAAATTTAATTTTCTTTTGGTCGGGGAGATTCCGAATTAGCCACCTGGTGGTGAAACTGGTAACCAGTAACTACCTACTCCTCCTCACCTAGGTAATTTTTTAAGATCTCTGCTACCACAGCTTCATCCTATTACTCCCAATAGGCGTTTTATTGACAATGGGCATTGACGGTCAATATTATTAATGGAATTATAAAATAATTCTTTACGAGTTTTTGATTATTTTAGCACATTTGGAATAATATACCAATAACCTAATTTCAGGTTATATAGTGACATCTTGGCCCAGGGAGCGAAGGCCAAAAAGCCAAGATTTCACTTGCCCGCTGAAATGAGGTTGTTGTGGTCTTATTTCCAACGGTACCGTCAAGTTGACAAAGTATAGTCGAGTTGACAACGTACACTTCTGAGTTTTTTAAAATTATATCCAAAACGTAAATATTTGTTAAATCTTCAACCTAAATTTTGGAGTTTAGAGAAACATATTCTTATAAAAATAATCGACACTCAGATGGCAAGGGAAAAATGATCGATGGAAATGTGAATAGAACCAACATTTCTCAGCCGGCCAATTTTGTAGGTGGAATTATCAAGGAAAAACTCAAGCACTGAAATTGAACATGATATACTTATTGTATTCATCAGAAATTTTTTTTAAACCGTATATCATAGTTTTTGCTGCAAATCGTTTGCTTCAATATTTGACAACGTACAACTCAAGTGTACACTACACACGTATATTTTGTACGTTGTCTATGGTTATAGGCGTGGAAGAAGGATTTTATGATCACTCATATAGTCTAGCTACAGGCTCTTGTGCCACCTCTATTAATGTTGGTCTTTTTATTTATTTTTTATAAATATTCAATATTTATTTCTTAAACTATAAATTTACAGACAACACCCATGATGCCATCTCAGCAGACTATAGCGCAGCAACATTTGAAGCAATATTATGAAGGTGTACATGTCTTGATTCTTTTAAAATACCATTTGCTGAAAATACTTCCGGCTTTCGGGTCGAAAAATGTCTTTCATCACAAGGGGTCAAAAAACGTAAATATTTTGATTCGAACTTTTATACATTTTATAAGACACAGACCGTTATTCTAAGCATACGAACAAAAATTAAATTATCATAATTTAAAAATATACTATTTAATTTTCCGTAGATGTCACTGTTTAATTAGTGTAATTATGCAAGTGTGTTTTTCAGATTTTGTTTGATTTTTCAAATATGAGCCAAGCCGATTCAACAAAATTATGTGGAATATTTAGGTAATTTATGATTGGGAACATATTAGTTTTCTTACCATTTAAAACATTTTATTACCAGAATTTTCCATATAATCGCAAGGGGTCTAACAACAAATTATTGTTCATGATTTACAAAACATAATACAATAACAAATAGGTAAGATTTATATCTAATTAAATGTTAGAGAGGTATATTGGAATGTTCATATATTCCAAGGGCATGTCTAATAATCAATTAGAGTCATATGCAATCGAACGCCTTGAAATTCTTCCTCGACGTTACTTGTGGCTATCATCAAGTTTTCTGATGGCTGTTTGTTCTTTGACCTTACCGCTGGATACAATCAAATTTAAGGAAGATAATGATAACGATTTTTCTCAATTATTCATGAATTCGATCAAGTCTTGATGGTTGTTTTATAAGCAACTGACCTATATCTAACTACGGGAAATAGAATTTTAGCTGTAGTCCCAATTAGTCAAGGAAGAGCAATAGGCCCGCCATTATTCATAATTTTCACCGCTGAATAAAAGTCCATATCTCAAAACGTATTGAGACCCCTTTTGTGAAAAACTAGCATAATTTAAACATTTGTCATTCCAATATAAAAGTGATTCATTTGTAGCATTTATCTTATTAATACCTGAGAAACAATACAAAACGTCGATACACTGATTACATATTTTTGGGTATTGATAAGAAAAATAACCTCAAACTTCTAGCTTAGAAAGCTAAATCATATATTTAAAATCATTTTGTATTATTTTCTGTTGCATTGTGTACTCCAAATTGTGAAAAATTAAGACTTTATTTTTTGGTGATTTTTTTACCTCTGTTAATGTCAGGCATAATTCAGCCTAAAAGCCGGAAGTATATTGAACAGTTATAATAAAAATTATTAGGGGACACACGTAGGTATGTTAATGTAAGGTCAAATATCGCTGCGCTATAGTGTGCTACCAACTCCTTTATTAGACGTCCTAGAGATTTCATACCATGGACTAATGTATGAGATCTAGAAAATGAGTCGTCGTAAGTTTGACCTTGCTATTTGACTCTACTCAATAACTAAATAAAGATAAATTAGGAATGCTTGTAAGATGAAAAAAGTTTCTTATTGAACACATGCATGTTGTTATACATCAGTACATCGTCAGTCGCTAGCATATGCTGGAACTTACATGCAGTATTGGCAAACAAAATCATGAGTCAATTTTTGGAAAATTCAATATTTATTATGAGAAGTTTACCAATAAATAAATATACAAGGACAGAACCACAAATTCGCAAGAGTTTGGATAAAATATTAAGATATTGAATGGCCTATCATTATTTATACCTTAAATCGTCCACACATCCTTCGTGATATTCGATTCATTCGCACACGCATGTCAAAGCCCAAGTATACTTGGCTACCCATCTATTCTGACTCTTGCCGAAGTATACTGACCTGACCTAAGTATTCTTAGTTTACTTATTTCTTCGAATACACTCGATAGATGTCCACGTTAGTTTTTTAATCATTTTGTAGTTGGATTTATTTTATTAAAAAGGTGGCTCCTGTTATTCTGGTAGAATTTTATATTTTTACTTCATTGATGTTATACGTTACGTTACGTCATATTACGGCTTCATCACTGGTTGTTATTTCTACTTTTATATAAGTAATTTCAGTTTCCGACTTCCATATATTTTATAAAAGGCAGTTTCCTATCATATAAGGGTCACTATGAATAAAACATCTTATTAATCGTGGATATTGGATTGTTACAATAACATTTTGGTAGGTGGGTGATGTTGTTCTTTGTGCGTTAATCAGAATTATGCTGGGGATTCTTTTTCTCTTCTATGACTGATTCAATCAATGCTAGAACTAAATCACCAATAAATTGATAAAGCTATCTCGTAATGTGAGTCATGCAATTAAGGCACAATACAAGTTAATAGTTTCAATGATATTTTCTTTATTACATATAACCTTACATGTAACATATGGACATAATATTTACATTTTCTACATTATACAATCAGTATTGTACATCATACGAGCTGCTTTTATTTCCATAATGATAGGGAAAACCTTTGGTGCTCCTA